GTGGTGGCGCATGCCTGTAATCCCAGCTACTCAGGAGGCTGAGGCAGGAGAATTGCTTGAACTCGGGAGGCGGGCTTTGCAGTGAGCCAAGATCGTGCCACTGCACTCCAGCCTGGGTGACAGAGCAAAACTTCGTCCAAAAAAAATAATAATAATAATGATAAAAGTAAACTGAAAACAAGAATAGAAATGTGTACTAACATGCTCTGTGACCTTGATCAACAGCTTTCCCCACTCTTGACCTTGGTGTCGTAACTTAAATGGGGAAACTGTGATCTCTCTCAGCTCAAAAATTATATGACATTATTTACATACCAAACCTGCCCTACGCTTCCTGGAAACTTTACTATTTATGAGTGTGGCTCCTCCTTCCTTTCAATCCCTTAATTAAATAGCTTCCCCTCTACAGGCTTTTGAAGTGGTAGCAGTTCCTCCTAACTCCTGCCAGAAACAGCTGTCCTCAACATGAGTGCTGCACCCGTCCTCGTGGCCAGGGCAGCAAGCCTTAGCCTTGGCTTCTTGTTTCTGCTTTTTTTCTGGCTAGACCGAGGTGTACTAGCCAAGGAGTTGAAGTTTGTGACTTTGGTAAGTAGACTTTTCTCACTGCTTTTTCCTTAAAACTGTGTTCCCAGCAGAGTCTGATAAGGCAAGCGTCAGGTTTCATCTTACCCTTGGATTGTTTCCCGGAGACCAGGCTCTGTTCAAACTCAGAAAGTGAATCATCAAGTTTTGCAAGTTCCTCTTAATGAAGACCTAACATGTCTTAACAAAAAGGTAGATTTTTTTGGTCGCTGGTTTTTTAGGGGTTGCTTTTTATTTGCTTTTGCTGATGTTATTTATTTCCTTACTTTACAACTGCCTTGAATTCAGATTCCTTTTGACAGCCACACCAGTCCAGAAGAAGCCACAGCTGGCGCTGTTTATGTACCAAGAGCTGGCTTTATTCGATTTAATGATTATTTGTTTGCAAGCTAAAAAACAGTCACTTTCTGAATTAAGTAGTCCTTTCACCTTTGTTTATCAGGATATTAGAACAAATATTTGTAAACAGCCTTGAAGCATAAAAGTGAATCTAAATTTGGAATTTTAGGATGACTTTCTGATATATAGATTTAGTTGACGATTAAAATCACTGGTACATGTGACCAGTTATGAAAAAAGGTGGGGGGATGGCTGATACATAACGTCAGGAAAAGAAAATATACTGTTGACATTGTTTGAAAATAGATGGAAAGAGGGTTTGCAAAGTGAAGGGGATTCATCATGTTACCTAAGAGTCTGATTTTGTTTCTGTATCTTTTTTTCCTTCTGTTTCACTCTTTCTCTGCCTCTAAGCTGCTTCTTGTCTTTCCTCTCTCGTTTTCTTTCTCTTCCTACATTTTTTTATTTGAGATAGTGAAAGTGGGCTGATAAGTAGTAAATTTTCTTTCTGTCAAGTGTACTCACGGAGCTAGTCTGAGATCCCCCTGTAAGGTTTGCTGGATTAGCTTGACTCTGAATCAGCAGGTGGTTCCCTTGCTTTTCCTCTGTGATCCCAGAAAAATAAATCTTCCTCAATTCTGAAAAGCTGTTCTTGGCAGAAAGAGGAGGAAACTGTCCTTGGCTCTTGTTCTCGGACTAACTGAAGTGCCTGTGTCCCATGAAATGCTAGTTTGACAAGTTGTTAACAGGTGTGGATGGGGAAAAAATCAGTTTCAATAGTCAAGTTAGCTTTGGGACTAGAACTGGGTTAAACTGTGTTTAAAAGGTCTCTTTAATGCAATAATCCTCAGTCTTTAACATGCTAATACACACTGTGGCTTTCAAGGAAAAGATCTGGCGTTTTCCAAACGGTGTTTTTGAAATTTTGATTACGGCATTCACCTCCCTCTTTTTTTCCCCAATGTCCTGTAGAAAACACTGAGAGAACTGACATTTTTAACTTTATATGGAAAGAATAGTGACTATGGTGAATCTGGATGTACACATCAACCAGCTTCAAAAACTATCACCCATGCAATCTTATTTCATCTACATACCCACTCATTTCCCACACACACCCAGTTGAGTTTTTAAAGTTATTTCATGCATCATATTATTTCATCCAGAAATAGAAAAATGTCATTTTAAAGCAACCTCTCTCCCCTAACCCAGAGAAAACCCACAAGTTCAGCTGATGCAAAACAGAAAAATTCCATCTCATTTCACTAGTGTTTTACAAAGAAAGGGATGATGAGTTACAAGGTATACACTCTTCTCATTCTTCATGGTTGATTTTCTTCATGCAGAATTCTTAATCAAGTAATACAATATTCTTGGTTTTTCCGTTTTTCTTTTCTTTTTTTTCTTTGAGACGGAGTCTCACTCTGTCGCCCAGGCTGGAGTGCAGTGGCGTGATCTCAGCTCACTGCAACCTCCACCTCCCGGGTTCAAGTGATTCTCCAGTGTCAGCCTTCTGAGTAGCTGGGGTTACAGGTGTGCGCCACCATGCCTGGCTAATTTTTGTATTTTTAGTAAAGACAGGGTTTCACCATGTTGGCTAGGCTGGTCTTGAACTCTTGACCTCAGGTGATCCACCCGCCTCGGCCTCCCAAAGGGCTGGGATTACAGGCGTGAGCAACTGCGCCTGGCATAATATGATATTCTTGATGGAAGTAGCCTCCAAATTCTAAGCACATAATCTATACACTGGAATGGGTAACTTCCACATTATAGACATGAAGGACCTCCGAGCTACTAGGGAAGGTGAGGCTAGAGGATCACTTGAGCACGGGACTGTGAGGCCATATTGAGCTAGGATCACACCATTGCACTCCAGCCTGGACAACAGGGAAAAACCCTGTCTCTTGGGTTGGCTTATAAAAAGATGTACCAGAGGCTGGGTGCAGCAACTCACACCTGTAATCCCAGCACTTTGGAAAACCGAAACAGGAGGATTGCTTGAGGCCAGGAGTTCAAGACCAGCCTGGTTAACATAGTAAGACCCCATCTCTGCCAAAAAGGAAATGATGATAATAATAATAAGGATCAGAAAAAACTCTCCACTGAAAAGCGAAAATCAGGTCTCCTGCCTCAGTTCACAAACAGCCTTACATACAATCTCTCTCCCTTGCTGTATGGCTCCTAATCACTACAGCCAAGGAACAGCCAAGCTGTCTGGAGAACACAGGTTTTTCAAAGACCTTTGCCAGCAACAGCACCATGCGCTGAGAGTTGGTACTGAGCCAGCTCAGTTCAGTTTGCTTACATGAGTTTCTCCCCAGTTTTATGCCAATGAATTTCACAAATTTTCAGAGTTCTTTTGGCCAAGACATTTCAGCCAACCAGGTAATTCCTGTGGGTGCTTGTAAGTGTCCTAAATCCAAAGGAATAATTAATTATTCCTCTCAGCCAAGGAAATAAAAATAGGGAGAGATGATTAGAAATTAACAGAGGTATGTCTTGAAGGAGAGTGCTGTTTCCCATTGCTCAATAGGCAGTGCTTATTTGCTCTATATGCTGCAAATTATTGCCAGCAGGAAAAGAAATATATGTGGTAGCTAAGCAAAATATCTGAATAATATAATAACAACAAAAATAATTATAACAAATATGATAATCAATCCCATATATCAAATGCATCCTGTGTGCTCGGTATTACACTGATGGCTTTACATATATTACACATTTAATTTTCATGATGCTCCTGGATGAGAAATACTGCTTTTTGTGTTTTACACAAAGGGAAATTGAGGCATGCGGAATGTGAAGTTAAATCATTTCCCAAGGTCACCCAGCAGGACCTTGACAAAGCAGGAGTTTGAACCCAGGTCTAACCAACTGAAAACCCAGATATATCATACATCTGATATATCATACATCTCCTACACAACATAATGCACAGTTTTTACAGCTGCCCTTTTTTGTAGGCCTCTGTGTTCGTCCTGGTCTCTGGATCAAAGTCTTATTAGTCTTGTCCTGATTTCTTCACGGGGAGCACAGAACATATTCTCATGCTGATTCCTTTCACGGTCAGCCAGCTTTCCTTCTAACCTCTGAAATGACACTCATTTACATTACTCAATTATTTCTGCCCAAACGATTTTATTTTAATTTTCTTTACCAATGGATTTATTTCTTAGGTCCTAAAAGAAGAAAATAAAATAGGCTTCTACTCATAGTTATCTTTGTGCATCAAGAGATTTTCACAACTTGGAGTATACCCTAATCAAATAAGAAGAATAATTTAATGTCAGGAGATAAGGTTCCTTTTAGGACTTCTAGTGTCATCCCAAAGTTTTATGATGTGTCTCGAATTTCAAACCTGAAAGGAGAACATGATAGTTTATAAGACTTCAATCCAGTCCAGAAGCAGACTCACTGTTCTAGAAACAAAGGCACAAATTAATAGAGACTGCTACAATTTGAATGTTTGTCCCCTCCAAAACTCATGTTGAAACTGAATCCCAATGTAACAGCATTAAGAGGTGGCGCCTTTAAGAGGTGATAGGGCCATGAGGGCTCTACTCTCCTGATGGATTAATGGATTAACAGATTAATGGATTAATAGGTTATTACATAAGTGGGTGAGTTATCATGTCAGTGAGTCTATTATAAAAACCAATTTGGCTCTCAGTGTGCCCCTTCTTGTCCTGTCATGCCTTCTGCCATGTTATGACACAGCACAAGGCCCTCGCCAGAAGCTGACCAGATGCTGCTGCCTGATCTTGGACTTCCCAACCTCTAGAATTGTGAGCAAAATAAACCTCTTTCCTTTATAAATTTCCCAGTCTCGGGTATTCTGTTAGAGCAACAGAAAATGGGCTAAGACAGAGGGGAAAGACAAGAAGAGGAAAGAAAGGGGGGAAAAAGCACACATAGCACACCTTGCTGATAAATAAGGATGACAATCTAAAACCCTCATGAAATGAGAAGACTGGAAACAAATCCATAATGTGCTGGAAACAAATCCATAATGTACCTGGAAGAACTAGACCCAATGCAAGATTCACCTATTCATCAAAACAGGCCTTTTTTGCATGTTACTATGTTCCAGACACTGTTTTGGGGTTATAGCAGTGCGTGTGACAGCAAGGATTCTGCTTTCAAGGAGTTTACTGGGAGAGGGAGGAAGCCAGATTTTTTTTAATTTTAGTAAAAATAAAAAATAAGAAAATATCAGGAATATTTATTTGAAATAAAACAGTGAGATAAGATAGAGATTGAGAAAGAATTATAATGATGGTCAAGGGATGTCTCTCTGTAAAGGTCAAATTTTCAGGATAGACCTCAAATTGGTGAGTGGTATGTATGCTGAGAGAAGAAGCAGACTTGAGACATTCAAAGCAGATAGGACATCAAGAGCAAAGGCACTGAAGCTTGAGCAAATTTAA